GGAGAGACTGTTATATACACCATAGCCACGCCCATTCTGGCGGGCCATGATGCAATGAGCGCGCGGGCGCTTCTCATTGGCAGCGGGTTCAGCCCCGCTCTCCCATAGGCTTAAGCAGTTCTCTCTGAGCGAACCAATGAGCTGCTAGCTAGCCTGCTCTAGGTCTGCCGCAGAGGAACTGCGTTGTCAATGGATACAAATTATGAAATAATTTTTTGGCTTCAAACTCTCAGCAAAGATGAATCTTTCCCCAGCGTAAGCTAGCTTACGCAATACTCGTTCCCTCTTCTAGAGAGAACCGAGGTTACGTTAGGTAACCGATTCGTTTTAAACAGCAGGGGTGTTTACTGTAGCCTACTGTGAAGTTGTGAACCTCGCTTTACAGGCACAATAGCTGCGAGCACACACTGGCGTGAAGCTAGCGAGTGTTTCCACTTCATTCGTGGAACTTGATCTTGTGTGAGCCAAGCTCAACTTCCATAGGAATGAACTGAAAACGCTCGGTTTGCTCCGCTCGCGCCGCACCAGTGTGTGCCATGACTGGCGTGCACGCTCCGGTAGACGTAGATGTTGACGTTGACTCATTCAAATCGGAGGTCTGGGGGCATTTTGAAGTGAGAAGCACCAGTCACCTCCGTTTTCATGTAAAAGTCATTAATGCGACAATTGGGAGAGCCACGGAGATCACAAGGTGCATCAGTGTTATGTTGTTTTCGTCAACGATGACGAAAGGATTTCGTTGACGCACTTTTTTTATGACGATAACGCGACGATGACTAACGTTAGCTAAAAATGGCTCTAAGGTGACAAAAACATGACGAGACGTTTTCGTTGACAAGACGGAACGAAAATGACTAAGTCTGATTTCTGTCTATTTTCCGTGAAATCTGTCTGTTTTGAGCTATAAAAGTATCAGCAATGCTGCTGCTTCCTATCATTGTTTTGGGTACCCATGCCGCGCGCGCACCAGATTCCACACAACAACACACCTGCGGCTAGTCACTCACCACCACACATCTTCGGACCATGGCGGCGAAGCCAATAAACGGGCTTGGTGGTCGGAAACGACGAGATGATTTATGGACATACTTTCAGTTTCAGTATAATCCAGCGGTTCTCAAAGTGTGGGGCGCGCCCCACTGGCGTGACAGGTCTCCTCCAAAACGGGAGGAAATGTTCCATTTTATGCCTATTTATCTTTATTCGTTCATGGCGAGTCCGCATCGTCAAATTCATCTTTGGAGCGACACCGAAAACACCAGTTTATTAATAAACAATTAAATGTACCCTTGCTATTTTTTTTTTACACATTCATAATCATTAGCCTACTTTTGCCGGTTCTTTGTGGCAAGCTTTATGCGTGCGGTCGTGCGCTTGAGTGCGGCTATAAAGCTCAATATCCCGTATAGCCTATTTAAGTAATTAAATTAATAAAGGGGCGATTTGTCCACTAATGGCTCAAATGATCAACTACTAGTCAACTAGAATAAAAACTTTAGTCGGAGGCAGCTCTTATTTCACATATTCTCGAACCAGCAGGCCATTCTGTGTTGAGTGCGCGACCCAGGGCTGAATGAGCGAGCAGAGGAATATTCAGAAATGCGCTCTCCGCTCACATGCTCTGATCGGAACAAAGGAATATTAAAGTAATTAATCATTAGTTTATATCTTATACACTGCCCATACACTACCTATCATTTTAATCCCATATCAAACAGTATGTTATGTCTATTTTATCTATTAAAAAAAATATATCACGTTAAGTAGCCTAGGCTAAAGGCAGAGTGCTGTGTGCATTCTTCTTCCCTTTGCCACATCATATCTCTGTGAGATGGGCTTTTCAGCCGTTTCAGTTTCACTGAAAACAAAGTACAGATCTCAGCTGAACATTGAGCATGACTTTTGAGAAATTGTGCAATTCAAAACAGGCTCAGTGCAGCCACTAATGCAGGGATAAATAGACCTGTCTTGCCAAATGGATTTCTATTCTTTTCTTTACAGATTGCAAAGTGGCACTTTTATTTCTTTTCTATTTTTGAACTTGATACCAATTTTGACACAGCCGCATTTTATTTTCTCTATTTTTTAAAGACTTTTTTTTTTTTTTTACTAAAATTGACTAAAACTTGATTAAAACCTTTTTGTGTGTTCGGAGACTAAAACCTTTTTTTGTTTTCGTCGACTGCTTTCTGTACACCTAAAGACTTTGAAAAGATTTAGAAAATACTTTATAAGATTATCAGCTCACATCTAAAGACTTGGGTTCACAGTTAGTCCAAGACTAAAGATTTTACAAACACTGAATCTTGTAGTGACACTATTTACAGGACTACAACTAGATTATTTTAGCTTTTTATTCCCACCAAATTCCTCCCAGCATGCTCAGCAGTGATTTAACAAAAATGGAGAAGCAGCTACAGTTAGCTACTGTATCACATTATGTTGTATGATCCAAAATATTTCTGAAGGTAGGCCTACAGTGGTGGTGGTATATAAGATAAGATAGACCTTACATTCCCACAATGGGGAAATTCTCAGTGTTGCACCAGCACAGTGGATAGTAAAAAAAAAAAAATTTATAATAATAATGTAAACAATATATACAACAAATAAACAGTGCAGTGATGGCTGCTCAGTGCAGTGATGGTGTTCTGCAGGGGGTGGGAGTCACTGTCCAAATTATGTGATTATCATCATTAAATAATAATAAAAATAAAAATAAATTTAATTATCATTATTATTAAATTATATAAAGGCAACCATACAGTCATGTGAAAAAAATAGGACACCATGAAAGCCTGTCTATTTTTCAACATACGGACATGTAATAACAATTTTAACAATACTGAAAGACCCTAGCCTAGAAATCTAGACGCACCCTAGCGGCAGCAAAAATAATTTTGCAGCAAAGTGTGCATCTTGATGTAGGTCTGGCTTGCCAGGCTAGAAGGACCCAGTGATTTAACTAAACTATTTAAAAATAAGGAAGGCCTTTTTAAGACACTCTGTGAAATGTAATTTTAAAAGAATGCAATTTTTGAGGAATAAATTAGGACACCCCCCATATATTTCCCCCACACTGCTTATGAGTGTGGAAAAGGATTTAAAAAGATATCAAAGGACATTGACATCAGCCATTCCACCATTTTACCTCACTGAATTAATTTCAACAAAGGGGGGGTATCACTAGTTGTTAGGGGTCCTAATTTTTTCTTCCATTAAAATAGGCATTTTTATGCATATTTTTTGTTTGATGAGTAAAAAAAAATATTAATTTATATTGTTTAATTACAATAAATCACTTTCTTTTCCAGGAATGAGAAAACATCAAATTAGACATTTCTTAATAAAGAGTTGACTAATGGGATGACAAGCTCGACAGGGCGCTCCTCTTTATCCACGGTCCATTTTCGCCTACTTGGCGCTCGTTGTGTTTCCACGTCCGTCGACATGTTTCTTTGTTGTGACTGATGGCTTCCTGTTTCCTGTTTCCGTTTTTATGAGAACGATTTTATTGGTTGTTGATTGTTTTACGTCACTATGACTACGCTAGGACTTGCGATAATATCAAACATGTTTGATATGAAAGACTAGAGAAAGACTGGCATAAATCGGGTCGCCGACTGCAGATTATCACCTCACATTTAACAATCGAGACGACGTGAGCGTGCAGAGACTCCAGTAAGATTCCTAAAAACGGCCGGTCTTTAGTCTGGGACTGTGAAAATCCTTTGGTGTACGCCCGGCATAAAACTAAAAAGCATTTTCGTCCAAAAGACTAAGACTAAAACTAAAAGGGCTGCCAAAAACAACACTCAGGTGTTGTATTTATTTTACTATCTCTTTCTCTAAATGTGTTTTTTTTTTTACTCTTACTAGTGTAATGATACAAATTATGACAAAATTAGAATCTTGCCTTTATTACAATGTAAAACCCCTGTCAATCTGGTACTAATTTTACACAGTCTTTTACAGTGTGCGAAGGTAACAGCCTCTTGACCAAACAGACAGAAAGACCGAGTTGAAACAACCTTGAAGGGAATTTTTTTAATGTAGTTTTATTATTTGACAAATATATTTCAAATTAAAAAGAAATGTGCAGCATTTTGTCTGAGAAATTATAAAAGGGACACTTTTGTCTTAAATGTCATTTGTTAAAAAAATTGTGAGAAAATCGTATTGTGAAACCAGTATCGTGATTCGTATCGCATTGTGAGATGAGTGAATCGTTACATCCCTAACTATTTTTGATCAAATACTTGTTGAACATATGAGACTTCTTTAAAAAAAAAAAATCATACCGACTACAAACTTTTGAACGGTTGTGTAAATATTTGTAGGATGGTCAATAAGGGGGAAAAACCAACTCGACTTTATCCATCTAGAATTGATTGGATTATGAAAAGCAGGCATTTCAAACCAGAGTGGAGCCAGACCTACAGTAAAGGAGTGTTCACATAAACAGCTAATTGGCTATTAGCTAACATCCAACAGCCAGGGTGCCTAAGTGACATCAGAAGAAAAGGGAAGTCGTTTCAGGGTTATTACATAGACAATGTTTCCTTTGAAATAACATACGCAGGTGATTTGTCCACAATAAACCACCATTTTTGCAATACTGAGACAAACTAAGTCCACAGTATGTTGGACATTGATGTTGCTAGGTGCAATAAATTTGATTGGGTATGGGTAATAACCATTTTTTAAAGTCTATGGTAATAACCTGTTGTATAATGAATTCTTTTTTATTTATTATTGTAAAAAATCAAAAATGATCTCATCATTGGGCAAAAGGCTGCTGAAATTACAAGAACTGTTCTTTGTCATTTTAAGACGGATCAACTAGAAAATGTTTAGTGTCATTACGAAACTGTAATTGGAATCAGAAACAGCATTTTCTCAGTTCTCGAGGGGACACACATAATACAGAAATACTATACAGCACACATTCTAGCTGAACATCTGTTAGTTGGTGTACGTTTGATTAATGTTGTACAAACCTGCCAAGGAGGATGTCCTCACAGCCAGTGGTGGTCACAAAGATGTTTCCTTCTTTGCAGGCCTCATCCATGGTGGTCACCTCATAGCCTGCGTAACGAGAGCCGAATGGTTACAGCAACCTTTAAAATGCAGTTTTAATACATACATGGTTTAAAAATATAGTAGGTTCATGATGGGCTCCTTAGGTCTCTTACCAAATTCAAATAGATTAGATAGATAGATAGATGATAGATTTTGCATTGTATTTACGGAATCGCAAAAAGGGACTGACTATTTGCAATTCCAACTTAAGTTGTTCACCTTTCACTACATACTAAAAAAAATTAAATAATAAAAAGACTAAAACACAGATAAAATGTATTCTTATCACTCGAAGAAAGGTGTTTAAATAGGAAGAAAAGGAACACACAGACAGAAAAAAAATCCATACCCTCCATAGCTGCCTGCAGAGCGTTGATGGGATCGATTTCTGTGACAATGACTCTGGCGCCGAACCCTCGTAGAGCCTGAACGCAGCCCTTACCGACGTCACCGTACCCGGCCACCACTGCCACCTTACCGGCAATCATCACATCTGTGGCCCGCTTGATGCCGTCAATCAAAGACTCACGGCAGCCGTACAGGTTGTCAAACTTACTCTAAAGGGAGGGGGGGAAATAAGTCATTCCCAAATAACTGTCATAATATTATAACCATGCACAAAGTGCTTACGTTTGTGTGAACAAACAAAACATCAAATGACCACAGGGAATAACAGGATAAAACCATGCACTGTTATTATATCTTGGTTATAAAAGGTTACCTTAGTCACAGAGTCATTGACATTGATGGCAGTAACTTTAAGTTCTCCCTTCTTCAACATCTTGTAGAGGTTATGAACTCCTGTTGTGGTCTCCTCAGAGATGCCCTTGATTCCTGAGGGATTAACCAGGAAGAATTATTTCGTAAAAGTTAAAGGGGTCATATAATGGTACATGCACTTTTACAAGTTGATTGTACTGAAATGTGTGTTGGCAGTGCCTGTACACAACCATCATATAATGATAAAAATCCATCCAGTGTTTTTGTTTTAATCTCCTTATATGTTTTCCCCTGCCTCAAATCGAGCCGTTTGAGCCTGTGACATCACAAGCTCGCACGCCCCTCCCACGATTGTTGATTGACAGGAGCGTTTCAACACAGACCCGCCCTCGCTCATGAGGGAGCTGTCAATCATAGTCTGCGCGGACCGGCGCGGTCATTGTTGATATGCTGGAGCACTGTCTATGAGCAGAATGGCGTCTAAGCGATTGTGGTGTTCTGTTCTTGGGTGTAATAACGAACACAGTCATTTTAATGTTCCTAAATCCGAACCGCTGAAGACGCAGTGGCTGAGTTTGTTTTCGAAGGGAATATTCCCCACGAGCAACGTCAATGCTTTCATGTTTGCGCGAATCATTTCTCACACCAGACTGCTTTATAAACGAGGGTCAGTATAAAGCTGGATTTGCTAAGAAGCTGCTCATGAAAAAAGGATCGGTACCAGATATTCATGTTCCTGCTGAATCTCCAGAAGAACGGAAGTGAGTATAACATTTTATTAAACTTTATATTAATATATTAATCTTTGCAAACCGCTAGCTGCACGCTTCACAATGAATACGCATTCATTGTGAAGCGTGCAGCTAGCGATTTGCTAAGGTTTACACTCAGGGTACATTACGGCATGTTTTCTATGTATGACATTCTCAATATAATTCATAATCCCCCGTTTATACTGAACAACGCGTTATGGTTATTGTGTTATTGTGTTACAAACGGTGTACACACAAAACAGAGGGGCGGGGTGAGCAAAGCTCATTATCATTTAAAGGCATATGCACTGAAACGGCGTGCTGAAAACAGAGCTGTTTTTGACCAGGTAAAATAAGTGTTTTCTTACAATACTAATGAGAATTTTTAATTAAAGTATATTACAAACTTTTAATTTAGACCCTAAAGAATCATATTAGCTTGTACAAAAATGGCATTATATGACCCCTTTAAAGACCCAGAATATCAAACTAAGTGCATCTGTTTGGAAGGAATGTTGCAATAACTGGTTGGCCGATCAATTTTATTTTTGTGTAGGTTAGCTTGACCTTCACTGGTGTAACTGATGAGGCCGAATCAAATCCAAGACATTTCAGCCATCTACTTAACCCTCTGGGGTCGGCGGTCTCGCCGGCGATACCAGCTCACTTTTTTCCTTATCAGTGCAAAAGAGACTCAAAAATTACTCTGTTGATTTTGATCTTACATATAAGTGTTGTACATCATTCGATCCTGTTGAGTTTTTTTTTTTTTTTGTGGAACCTCATAATAAAAACAAAGTGTTGTGCTTTTCGCCTAATAAAGAAAAATAAACATGATGCGCGTTCTGCGTTCTCTCTGTCAGTGAAGTCCATTCTGAAACGCGTCCGAAAAATGAACTGTATATCTGCAAATACTCAGTCAAACAGTTATACAGGCACACAGGCATGAAGCCTGAATTATCTTCTTTTAAATGAAGTAGAGATGATAGTCGTTCTCGTCTCAGCTCATTAAAGTTAATTTGACCACGCCCACGGAGCGCGCGCTCTATTCAAACACAAATGCTCTGAGGCGATCCATGCCCACATCAGCTGGATAACCCACCGAAAGAGACTCAGATTTACGACGCTGTGAGGAATAATACTATCTTAATAATAATCCTGGAAAAAATTACCTCAGAAGTAGGCTACAGGTAGTTTCATTTGGAGGAGCAACGGATCCAGCCGAGGAATAGGTACATTCTTTATTTTCAAGTGCTTTGTGCTAATCGCGATATGGAATAGTGTCTGTAAACAAAAAGACTGTTTGAATCGCGTTTTTGTGTGTGAATGAATGAACAGCTTTTACCTAACTATATTCCAATACTGAGATGAGTAAAAATCGACTGAAATATGTTGAAATAAAATATTTTTGTATAAGCAACGTATTAAACTGCAAATTAACATTTATATGTCCTAATCATAAAAACGATGTTACATATGAAAGACAAGATGTCGTTTTTACTGTAAAATACTGCCACATCAAATAAGCTTGTTTGCTAAGATGTTATTATAGTGTTTGTTCGATTGTAGGCTATATTCAAACTAATTAATCCGCAACTGTGAAATATGTATGATAAAATGTATACTTTAGTATATACAAAGAAAGATTACATTTGAAATATAGTTAAAATTTTAATTGTTGTTGTAATTGTAACCTTTTTATTAAAATAGCAAAAATATATGTAGGCTACATATAAATAAATCTTAGGTAAATCTTAAAAGCTCAATATAAGCCTCCTCTTTAAATTATTTGTATTGTGTTTTATTAGTGACACATTTGGGATATATTCCCAAACTGTAACTGTAAATTTCTGTATAACTGTAAAAAAAAACTTCTGTATATTCTGTAAAAACAGTATGATAATTAACTGCACAATTACTAGAAATTTTTACATTTGATATTATACAATTTGCAAGCACAATTTGAAAAATAAATAAATAATTGGAACTGTGAACCAATTTTGTATTATATATATATATATTGTCATTCTTGTGGCTCAGTGACACACCTGAATGAAAGGGTCATTAGTATGCAGCCCCATTATGCGCTCATTATGCGGGGCCATTGTCTTCTCAGGTGTGAATCACAGCAGGTCACACCCCTGCGCATATTGCCTTTCCAAACAAAAAGTGTCATTTTTAAATTTAAACCAATCTATTGTTTAATGTTAATGATAAGGCAGGATGATTTTCAGATCATTTTGAAGAAAAAACTCTAGGCGACAACATCCATTAGTCAAAAGTCTTGTGGACACATATTTAGTATGTGTTTTGTGGCCTTATTTCAGAAACTTTAAGTTTTAGTTTTTTCAATAACCACGCATAAACAATATTCTCTCAAAAATACAAAAATGTACATACATGTTGCTCACACATTATGGTAGCCCTGTGTGTGCTAAATAGAGTGTAATTACACCTTTGCCAGTAATATGTTTATAAGCAACTGAAAAAAGCACAAATGTCAGAGTATGTCGAAACATCTCAAGGACCCCAAAAACACCTTGGACCCCAGAGGGTTAAGGAAAGATAAGTGACTGTCACAAACCCTTCTGACAACTTTATAGCCTCAGTGGAAAATGTACTATAGCTCAGAAACCAAAAGTATTATCATAACTCTATATGTGGAAGCATTTCGGGCATGAAGCCAGCCGAAACGAAAATACGAGGAGCAAAATCACCGCAGGTCTTCATTTTATTTTGTGCCATTTCACAGAGAGACTGGCTGAGATTCAAGTATGTTTGATGCTGAGAGAGACACCATGACCTGTGCTGTTTCCTGTACATATGCAATGGAAAACATTATCATGAATTAACATACTGTTATCGTTAACGTTATGTTATTGTTACTGTTAACTATAAAACAGATTATTCTGAATTCTGATTGGTCAATACAGAATTCCAGACATGCTAAAATTAGTCTTAGATTAGTGATATACCTTTTTTTTTCACAAAGGCTACATTTGACCAAAAATACAGTAAAACAGTAATATTGTGAAATATCATTACAATTTAAAACAACTTTTCTATTTTAAAATGCAATTTATTCCTGTGATACAAAGCTGAATTTTCAGCATCATTACTTTATTTTCACATGATCATTCAGAAATCGTTCTAATATGCCGATTTGCAGCTTAAGAAACATTTATCATTTTGCGATTTTACGGCGGTTGACATCCAGCTTAACATTATTACTATTATCAATGTTGAAAACAGTTGTGCTGCTTAATATTTTTGTGGAAACCGTGATATTTTTTTTTTTACAAGATTCTTTGATGAATAGAACGTTTAATAAACAGCAACATTATAAAATATCTTTTTAAACAGACCCTTGTTTGACAGAGGAATGCAACATTTGGCATGAGTTTTATATATCCAATGCTATTATTCACAGTTCACTAACTGGGGGAATCAAAGAGTGACCTACTTTAAAAAAAAAAAGCAGTTTAAAAGAATTAGGTTAACAGTTCACTGGCCTCTACCTAGAATCAGAGAGCTGACCTTTGTGTTACCAGCCCAGATGCTTAACCCTACTAAAGGGAAGAGGTCAAATAGAGTAGCCTCATAAATTTGACATTTATAGAGTAAAACTAACACCACATCACCTCCACACTCTATCAATAAAACAAGAGTCTGCTCGGAACTTCCCCTTTCCTAAGTATCGTAATGCTTTTCAATTTTCCAGGAATGCTAATATTATAAGGTTTATATTTGTGACTGCTCCTATTGAAGGTTTCTTTCTTTGCTAGGTCAAGAAAGGAATGGCTTGATCGTGGATTAGCCTGCCATCTAGTGGCCATAAAACAGCAGTACAGTGCAACTGTGACGGGCATCAGTAGCCCAGAAATACTGTTATTTCTAGCAATGGAAATCCAGACAATGGAGTAATGAAGTACTATACGAGTAGTCTAAATGACTCTTTCCTGCCTGTTCAAGATGAGTAGACACACGTGATGAGTACAGATGAACAGATGACAGAACAGAAAGCAGCCAATATTATATACCTGCAAGCAGTTTGGGGTATTTCTGGTGCACCATGTTGGTCAAGTCTCCACCGTCGTCCAGGATCATGTTAAGAGGCTGACCGTCCTTGAAGTAGATTGTCTGCTCTATGCACCACACATACTCTTCATCAGTCATACCCTTCCAGGCATACACTACAACAAAGCACAAAACACACACATTAGATGACAAGATACGCATCAAAATTGTGTCCCTGACTGCTACAAATAAGAACTGGTCACTGGGTTTGCTAAGTTTGTGCTCGAGTGCACCTGCATATTTAATCTTATTCTCAAAGTAACATCCAATTTTAAGTTTTCCTGCCACAAACAAATAAATGATTTGCCATTTTATAGGAACAAATGTAGTGCATGTGAAAGAGGTTTTACTGTCCAACTGGTTCTTTTCCAGTATAAGGTGCAAAGTGGAGAGAATGCTGTTAGTAGCTGTAAATCTGCTCATTTCAGAAGCACAACAAGCTCTAAATATGTTTGACATTTTTAATGTGGCATTATTTTCTAGCTGGTACAACAATTAGTTGAGAATGCAGCTACATAAGCGAAGGATGCACCTACTGTCATCACTGTAAATGAGACTGACTGTTCACACGAAATGCTAAACCATCAATTTTCAAATGGTTTAAATGCAAAAGATGCGTGCAAAGTCAGTGAGTCACCCAATCAAAAAAGTGGCATCATGATTCTCTTACATGTCACTCAAAAGTTTGGAGTAATATACATTTTTTTTTAAAGATTGTTACTTTTATTCAGCAAGGATGCATTAAATTGATGAAAAGTGACAACAACAGAGATTTATAATGACATTTCTACTTCAAATAAATGCTGTTCCTTTGAACGCTCAATTCAAAGTATCCTTAAAAAAAAAAAAAACATTATGGTTTTCACAAAACTAACAGCACAACTGAATTTAACATGGATAATAATCAGAAATTAGCTCTAGATCAGCATATTAGAATAATTTCTGAAGGATCATGTGACTGAAGACTGGAGGAATGATGCGGAAAATTCAGCTTTGCGTCACAGGAATAAATTACATTTTAAAATATATTCAAATAGAACACATTTATTTTAAGTTGTAATAATATTTCGCAATGAGACTCTTTTTACTGTATTTTTGATCAAATAAATCCAGCCTTGGTGAGCATGAGAGACTTTTATACTAAAAAACATTCATAACCCCATACTTTTGAACAGTAGTTCACCCCTACGGTCACTCGAATATCAGATTAAGTACTGTGCTGTTTTGGTTATATCAAGATATTTGAATGTTTTTTGGCAATCAAATTTACTCTGACAGTAAGCATGTCAGAATTAGTGTTGATGCAACCACCTCAGTTCTCACGGTTTAAGATATTTCTCTGATTGAATGACCTGCAATTTAGTTTTAAAAAGACAAAAATGCATGCAATTGCTGCTCAAAGGTCTTAACTAGTATTAATCTGCTCTGTTCCACAACTAGTGAGCTAGTCAGCAGCATTTTAATGCATCAGTCAAGCTGCTGACACAAAAGGTTGTCAGCGTAATTATACTGCCTACTAAAATACCTTCTTAAGGCCTGCTTTTAGGCTTATCCTTTGTGGAGAAGGCAATCTAGTAATGCACTGTGATCAGTGAAAAAAAATCCATCCAAGATAGCAGACAAACAGAGAAATGTTGATGGATATTTAGAATTAATTTTATACTGAAAAGTACTGCAAAGACTATTACACCCAATATGCATGTGTTTTTATTATAATATAATGCATGTGCATTTTTATGCTTATTGGATTATTTAAGCTACTGCCTAAAAAAAGACTCAAGAGCTGGAAACTGGAAAAGCATGGGATAAAATCCGTTTGATGTTGTTAGACAGATATTGTGCAATCTTTTTAAAAACGTTTTGCCATCTTTCACCCTAAAAATCATTCGTTTTGAATCCCTTTGAAGGTTTCAGTGCTTAAAAATGCTTGGGAAAAGTCTTTTGTGGACTGAAAGCTGTAATGATGAAGTTGATAAAGCTGTCTTTGCCTGCCCACTCTTGCATGTTAGTCCTTCAACAATGTTGAGTGAAATCTAATGATTAAACTTATTTGTGCTGATTCTAGGTTTTACTCTGCTATGGTTATGTCTCTAAACCCTGCGTTCCTCTTATCTACATTAGATTGCGCAGCTTTAGAGCAAACAGTCGGCAGGATTACGCCAGAGCCGTGGTTATGGAACAGGCCGACAGTGCAGCACATCAACAACACCTGTTACCTGGAACGCCAGTTTTGGCAATGGCTGACGCTGCGTGATCCTGGGTCGAGAAGATGTTACAGCTGGACCACTGGACCTGCAGCAGACAGACATCAAGGAGAAGGAATCAGATCATGTGACTTATATAGACTTTATACATTGTTCCATAACTTTTTTTGTTGATAAAGTAAAGCCTTGGGCTGGGAAATTCCAGTTTGACGAAGGAAATAAGGGATAAAAAGAGGGATTCATTTCAGTCAGAATGCATCTAGGAGTATGAAAAATGGGTGAAGAAACTGTACTGTCCCTATCCAAAACAAAGTACTATGGCAATGTGATTGAATCATATAGTAATAATATGAAACAACTTATTTATATACCATAGAATTTACATTTCAAAGAATAGCATAGTACACAGGGTCGGTAAAATTATTTTAAAAAAATTAAGAAGTCTTATGCTTACCAAGGCGGCATCTTTTTATTCAAAAATACAGTAAAAATAGTAATATTGTGAAATATTATTACAATTTAAAATAACTTTTTTATGGAAGCTTGTTTCCGCCACAGAATGAAAAATAAAAAAGGTAATTGCGCCTTTTAACTCACAATTCTGACTTTATTTCTCAGAATTGCGTGATATAAAGTCGCAATTGCGTGTTATAAAGTCAGAATTGCGTGATATAAAGTCAGAATTGCGTGATATTAAGTCAGAATTGCGTGATATTAAGTCAGAATTGTGAGATATAAACTATTCTGAGGGGAAAAGTTAGTCTTTTTTTCCCTTAGAATTGGCCTGATAACTCACAATTGCGAGTTTATAGCTCACAATTCTGAGAAAAGATGTCAGAATTTCGAGATATAAACTCGCAATTATGTGTTATAAAGTCAGAATTGCGAGATGTAAACTCGCAATTGTGAGAAAAAAAAAAAGAGTCAGAATTGTGAGATAAAAAGTCAGAATTGTAAGAAAAAAGTCAGAATTGTGAGAAAAAAAGTCAGAATTGTGAGATAAAAAGTCTCAATTCTGTCTTTTTTTCCTCACAATTGTGACTTTATTTCTCACAATTGTGAGGAAAAAAAGTCAGAATTGTGAGATAAAAAGTCTCAATTCTGTCTTTTTTTTCCTCACAATTGTGACTTTATTTCTCACAATTGTGAGAAGTCGCAATTATTTTTTTTATTCAGTGGCAGAAACAAGCTTCCAGTTTTTACATTTTTAACAGGATTCTTTGATGAATAGAAAGTTCAAATAGAAGTAGAAAACTTTTGAAACATTACACATTTTATGCGTTCTTGCTGAATAAAAGTATTCATTTCTTTTGAATAAATAAATACAGATTCTTTCAGCAATTGATCATTTAATGAAAGTTAAGAATGTTAGTATAGTCATTTCCGATACAAAGACTGTTTATAATCAAATGCCACCAAACCTGGTGCGAAATGCCCATTTTTAACGCAAATATAGTGAGTTTGGAATGAGCGTGGGTCAATAATGGCAGATTTTTCATTCCTGGGTATTAACTATTTCTTTAATGTTTTTGCATTTGCTTCCCCTCACCTCAGCTCCCAGGGCAGTCAGGGTTTCAATGAGCACTGCGGTCTGTAGAGTCATGTGCAGACACCCTGCGATGCGAGCGCCTTTCAGGGGTTTCGTCTGGCCGTAGAGCTCCCTCATCTTCATCAGACCTGGCATCTCATTCTCAGCTATGTCTATGGCTTTACGTCCCCACTCGGCCAGGCTGATATCAGCTGGACACAGAAAATGACAACAAATGTTTCATTGAGGAAACCGAAAGAATGATTCAATTAAATATGCAAACCAGTACAGATTGTGTATACTTGGAGCAACTAAAAATCACAAAAGACATTTATGTCCATTATAACATGCAAGTTAAAGAGGTCTTTGAAATGTCAGTCTCATATTTGGACATCTAGAAGAGGAATTCAACAGATGACACCCAAACCCACATGCCTAACGTGGTTAAGGAGAAGATGGTGCTTGGTTTCATGTGCACACTTAACCATGAGGTTACCTAAAAAGAAATTCTGACTTTAATTTTTACTTCCAGTGTTCCTACCACAGCAGATAACGGAAGAAAACACACCTGCCTTAATATTCAGTGGTCAAACAAATGTTTAATTACAAAAGAAAATGGTATTTGATCAGAAAGGACATTTTTAACTGCAACCGGAAACCTATAAAAAGATCTAAGGAACAATTCAGAGTATTTGAAATACGAAGAAGTGGTTTTAGGAATGGGAATTTCCATGACTTAAAACTATTAATTCCTGACATTTTCCTATACCCATTACCATTTTCCATTGACCATGGGAACCCTGTGCCTTCAGAATTGGCTATTAATAAATAAGGCAAGTTTGCAGTACTGGTGCTGGCAGTAAAAGTCAAACTTTTACATTTCGTTCACTGATTTTGAAAAACTGAACTCTGAACGTTCAAGACTATGGAGCAAAGTCCGGCTGGATTTACTATTGAATTACTTCTGCCTTATCTGCAGTGAGAACATCAGAGAGGTTTGCCGAAAAACAACAACAGACGCTGAAAATGCCTGAGGAACAGACAGACAGGTGCCAAGTCCGGTCACTGCGACTATGCTGACGTGTGTCTAAACGAGACGCAGACACAACTGTTAAGATATTAACTTAATGTGTTTAATTAGCCTTAAATTGAAGTGCACCGTTTTAGCGCATACCATTCACTTTTGGTTAATCACGAACCGGTTAACACTGAATCGCCATCAATGTACGATAAGTAAGCTAGACGAATAATTCTTTTGAGCTGGACCTTCTCAATTAATCGACTGTTTTATATTCACATGTTCGATGGTCTACAAAAACAGAACTGGGAGACATACAATTATTATTACCTGTTAATAAAACAACTAAACCGAAACCCCGTAATAAACAGCAATATTTTACTATATATCAAAAGTTTTAAAGCATTAAATGTGCAATAACGGAGTGTCAGGGTCCAAATGATGACGTAAGAGCAGCCAAACTGTTTTTTGAACCGATTCCACGAAACGAACTGTTCAATAGAACCGATTCGTGAAAATGAATGAGTTCGTGAAAATGAGAAGTGGCGGCGCGTATCACCACTGCATTGTGGGAAATGTAGTTCGGTAGAGAAGCAGTTCTCGTACAGAGAAGCTTCTCCAGTGCACACAAAACACTACAACTTCCAAACTTTCTTCTTCACGTCTTCCGTATGGAACCACGCTAGCTTGTTTGACAGGTGTTGGATATAAAATCGTATATAATACTTTGCGAGTAACCATAAATGGCCATGGTAATAAACTAGACATATTTAGTGCAAGAACAGTGATTTTAAAGGGGCGGGTTTGCAAAAGAGCGTCTTGTGCAAGGCAGTGCTGACAATGACGCGTCCACTGCCATGTGTTATATTGTATAAGTACTAGCAGCTAAAGATTTGCAGCAATTCGTGCTCGGTCAAAAATACAACCCAATACCCTTTTGCAAAGATTCGTATGCTTTATCGAGAGGCTATTAGAGAGCTTAGTAGAAATCACCAGCATGGAGTCAGCTAATTAGCATTGGCGGTAAATACATAATTGCACGCTTTTGTGCAGAACAGCATTACGCCGGATGTAAAGTCAAAAATCAAATAAACTTATACTAACCAACTTTGAATGGAAGCTTCTCTGACATTTTGATGTACTGTCGTTAGGTAAGCCTGATATGAGTTGGTCTAGAGCCCGGCTGTGGACCTGAGTAAGTGCAGAAGGAGGTAGCTGTTATGTGAACTTGATTATAAGTGTGTACAAACCGGTTGTTGTAATATTCATGAGATCAGGCTGCATGTCGTTTCTCATTGGCTGAAAAATGCCACGCCTTGTCGTTCTAAAAAAACGAGGGTGGGCGTGTTTATCTGGCTCTACGGTAGCCTATAAGAATCCACCGTGGTTTAGGCTGTGTAATATCATTTGGAATGTGGAGAGGTCTTGAATAATATACAAGTAAAACAAGTTTCAACTGGCTTTGGGTGTTTTACTAATATTTAACAGCGGATCTGAGCTTGTGGAAGGAAAGTGTGTATTGGGCTTTTCTTCATAAATGTTAGATTACAATGTTTTAAAGGCAGAATCTGTTGACAAAACCAGTTGGAGTTGCTTTATATTCTCTACAAATCTATATGGAATGAGCAAATGAATGAGTGATTCCCCCCCCCCAGTATAATCCCGATAAACTAGAGACATTAGGAACATTTTCAGCTGAACAGGGTTGAACTTTTGGATGACACTAGGGCCCCCTGTATAAAGTCCATTCAGTAGTAAGCCCTGAAAATATGCCCCATGTTTATCCCCATATCTGAAAATGGTCTGGTTTGTGGTTTTGTGTGAGGAAAAAAAGCATGAAAGACTTAAGATTTACATATCACTGACTGATTTACAGAACACCCTGTCGATCATAAAATTATTAAATGCAACTGACTGATCTGAACTTAAACGTTTAGGTAGATTATTAGTTATTCAACTACTGTTTGAAAAGTCTGGGATTGGTAAGATTTTTTAATGCTTTTGAGGCTGCATTTACTCGATCAAAATACTGTAAAAGTAGTGTGAACTATTTTTTAAATCTAAAATAACTGTTTTCTCTTGCAATATATCTTTATTTAATATCTTTATTTTTAGATTTATATTCATATTTAATTTACTCCTGTGATGGCAAAGCTGAATGAATTTTCTTAATCTTCATTGTCACATGATCCTTCAGAAATCATTCTAATATGCTGAGTTGCTGCTCATTATCAATGTTAAAAACAGTCGTGCTGCTTAATATTTTTGTGTAAGCCGTGATGGACTCTTTGATGAATAGAAATCCATCCAACATTATAAATGTCTTTACTGTCCCTTTTTATCGATTTAATGTGTCCTCGCTGAATAAAATTTCTTTAAAAAAATCTCACTGCCCCAAAATTTTAATCCATATTGCATGTGTTCTTACTGTGCTGAAGTCATGTACCAGGACTAGAAAACTCAGTAAAAATATTTTAATAACAATAAATGAGATTATAATGATAGTGATATAACAATGACAAATCCAGCACCTACAATATAATGGAAAACATACAAATGTATTAAAAGCTTGTCTTTCACATCCTGTGCAAATCAGCTTCCATTACTACAGACTAATGCAAGGCAAACGAAAATGAATTGCTTCAAAATCTTCATTTTACTTTCCACTGCAAGAAAGAAACAGAATAGTACCATAGAAGTACCATAATATATTATATTCCATTATTGTCTCTAAAAGATTTCTGACTGTATGCATGTAACAGAACAGTGGGTATTTTAAAATAAAAAAGATATACTCTCAGGCCTCTTGTCTGGAGATATACTATTTCTACAAATACATTTTCAATATTCAATAGTCAAAAACATGTTTTCAAGCTGAACAGTGATGCCTTGAAGTGCACGAAAATAATGAAAACGAACATCTAATGGGCAAATGAAAATCCAGAGAAGTGTTAATTTGGCAAAACTTTAATGTAGGTGTAAGGTTGAAAGGCAATGGACAATAAACGAGTGTCGAAAAGACAAACAAACAATAAACAAATGTCAATGAAACCTTTAGAATCTGATAAATAAATGTTTTTTATAGATTCTCAGGAGAGGGGGGGGAAAAAAAAATACTGTACCAGAACATCATAATAGTGCACTTTGTAAAATATAGCATGATATTACATTAATCTGTGCTGTCTGTCCTTGGTAGAAATTCGTTTGAATGCATTCACGCCTCAAAAATAAGACAAACGTCTGAAATCTACAACAAGCCAAGTCGTTTTTCCCCCTCCTGATACAACACCCATTTCAATAAACCACTTCTAGTGTAAAGATATCTTGGAGTCACAAGCCAGTATTTCTGAACTATCTCAAATACAGTACACGATTCTTGAGCGAAGACCCCTATTCAATATAAGAATCCCATGCTGTCAGGAGACCGTAAACCACATGCCATTAAAGAGATGCTATGTACAGTAGAAGCCTCTCACCACTCAAACTAGATGCATGTTCAAGAGGAGGATCGCGACAACTTCATGCCCACCTCAGACCCAAAATGGAGACCAAGTCTTGTAGTCATAAAGCCTAAGTGCTGATCTAGGACGTCCCGTGGGCAGTACGGTTCTTGTACATGGAAAGCTCCTACATTTGCATCAATATCGAATATTAAACTGCTCGATGCACAGAATCAAAAAGGGCTTACAGTGCTTTAAACAGAACTTGAATGCGTGCATGTGAACAATGAGTTTTAGTGAAATATACTCGTAATATACCACGTTCTCTCCAAAAAACATGACGTAAAACGTTACAGACACCTTCCCCTGCGTGCAAAGGGTTTCCGTGTGTATTGGTTTGTCATGGAGCAAGCGGAGGATTCCTTGAGATGGAAGTCTGAAAATATAGGAGAGGAGTACAGGTAACGGACACAAACACTGATCTACAACAAGCCTTTTTCATGTCAGAACAGTCCAGAGATGAGGAGAAACGAGCAGAAATCTCAGACTTGCTTAGATGAGTGTGTCGACTGTAAGCCTGGTGGAGATTTGTACTTTTTTTGCGCAGTTGCTTTAATGTTTTTGTTTTCCTCTCGTGTGTGTTTATATATTAACCTATTTTAAACACAAAAACAACATACTGTAACATACTGAAGAGTCCTTCCAGGTCCTTTAGTAACTGGTATCGGAGTGAGCTTATGCCTTGTATAGTGTGTATGGGTTTCGGCGGAGCAGAACAAGCATTAATTGGCAGCCCATGCCTCCAGGTCTTTCATGTCATCCTCATCCTCTTCTTCTTTCTTCTTTGCTGCAAGCACAAAAAGACATTCAAAAACTGCATTTAATACAGGCCCATTGTAAATACATTTGCAGGAGTCTAAAGGAATGATTTGCAGTGCCAGAAATTATTTGACACGATTTGAGTGATAGAAAAATGAGTAACAAGTGAAGTAAAAACAACAACAACATAATACCTGTTACTTTTTTCAAATAAGTTACTATTGATTAATTTATGATCAATTACAATTAAAAATCTCTCCCTAACAGTCTCATACACAGCTTCAACACACTGTCCAAACACAATATTTTATTTAAATGTGGAGTTTTGCACATGTTTCTGTGGTGGGTAGGTTTAAGCCAGGCACTCACGGTGAGATTTTTGCTGATGTACGAGCGCACAGGAGATTTTTTTCTCTCAGGAGAGATCGGGTGGAAATCATTGATGCTCTTATGGTCGCGGCTCGCATTGTGTGAGAGGAATTACGAGCCAGTGTAAAGTTTTGACCAGTGTATATGCTGTCCCCTGTGGTGGAAATTTGTAACTATTTATATTAAACTAACCAGGTTAGACTAACATCTAACCTAATTTAACATCTAACATTTGAACAGAATGTACTGTACGAAACCAATGGAAAACTTGTCACTTTGAGTGTGTGTATAAATAACAATTTGGGAAATGAAACTAGACAGGTGTCTAAATTCAAATTAAGTAATGTTTCATGTCATTTTGCCATACCTCCTTATTCTATAAAACTGTTGTATTTGTGTTTACTGGTGGGGTTCTCAATGGGATTTGTCTGAGATCCACCGGCCATGCTTATTGCTTCTTTTTGGGAGATTCTCTGAGAACTGCTCGAGACTCCCGGCCGTAATAAAGAACATTTAAAGGACAATTACTCAAGTCTGTCTGTCATTAAAGCTGCGCAGCAAGAGAACAAGTAAGTTAGATTATCGGCTCTTGACGCTGTAGTCAACTGGAGACTCGCTGGAGATTTAGACGGATGCTGTAGTCGACTTGAGACTCGCTGAAGTATAGTTAGGGAGCGGATGCTGTAGTTGACTGGAGACTCGCTGATGTGTGAACGTAGCTAACGTCAATTTAGACGCGCTAGCGTATAAGTTAAACTAGAAGAGTTAGTCTTAGGGAGACAAATATAAAATAGTTAGGTTTGAGGATAGAAAATCCATAACACCCCTATTGCCAAATCATACACAACCACGTTACATAGGCTAGATCTATGAATATTATTATAGCCCAGTGGCTGCAACCCTACAGCGTGCGCATACACTGACACACACACACACACACACACACACACACACACACACAAATACACTCTCTAGTTGTTTTTGTTGTAGGGAATGGCTGTGTTGTTCTCTGCTTTCTACCAAATCATTTGCACACTCGTCTTTTTATTTTCTTTCTTTTTTCTATGTAAAGCTATATCAGCAACATTGAAAGCTCCAGTCTCTGTGTTTAACAATAAAGCTCATGTGATTGCTGTGTACCAGCTGCTTTGGTTAAAATGATCAGGTTAATTGAATCACGACGTGTGCAAACGACCTCCCGAGTGTCTGAACTCACACAGTGTATGCCTGCCTTTAAGGGTAGGGGTTGTGTTAGGCCATAGAAAATATCATAAATCTGATAGAAAATCAATGGAAGTCTATGCAATGTCCTTTACAAATATAGTGAAACAAACGTACGTTTGTGTGTGTGTGTGGTACCTGGTCTGGAAGGTAAGGATGTAGAGGGCACGTTTGGCAATGGTACATTGTCTCCGATCTCCAGAAGGTTCTTATCCAACTCTTCCTGCTCCAGCTCTTCCAGTTCAGCTAACAGCTCATCCTGATACAACACACAATCTGTTTATACCTAGAACTACATGCCTCTCAAATGTGACCACTTGTGATTGGATTTAAGCGTATGTACATCACTAAATACACTACACATCAAAAGTTTGGGGAGAGTACTTTTTTTTTTTTACCAATGTTATCATATCAGGTATAAACGGTGCCTCCCGAAAATTGAGAAGTTTGCTTGTTTTAATCTTACTTCATCAAATTCCTCCCCAAATCCAACAGGCTTTGAGATTGCGTCTGAAATTTCTTGTGCCAGCTCCTGTTGTTCTGTGATGTCCTGCATAAGTTCGTCCACTTTGTCGATGTCCCTAAAGGTACACAGACAACAGACTGAATTATAAACTCAACTTTATGATCTCCATCCAATATATTTAAAGGGATAGTTCACCTAAAAATGAAAATTCTGTCATCATTTACTCCCCCAAACCCCTTAGACTTTCGTTCATCTTCAGAACACAAATGAAAATCTTTTTTATGAAATCTGAGAGCTTTCTGTCCCGCCAACACGAGAATGAACCTCATTGGTTCTTGCTGAACCTCAAACGTGCTGCGTAACACGAGAATGAACCTCATTGGTTCTCGCACGTCAAGCGAACATGCCTAAACTTCCGTTTACCACAACTGATGTGTGAGTTGATGAATGTTTATATGTGAATAAAAGCCTAAATTAAATCAGTTCTTCATATAAAGCGATCGAGTCTTTTCCGAAAATTTGGACTAAACCGCTCAATTCATATGGATTAGTTTTACGATCTCTTTTTGAAGCGTCAAAGTGTCAGTTGCGTTGCTGTCAATGGAGGGACAGAAAGCTCTCAGATTTCATCAAAAAGATCTTCATTTGTGTTCCAAAGATGAATGAAAGTCTTACAGGTTTGGAACGACATGAGGCTGAGTAATCAATGACTGAATTTTCCTTTTTGGGTGAACTATCCCTTTAACATTTCATTTAGCTATATCCCATTTCAAAGTACCATAATCCCAATAGCTTGCATTGGTAAATTTAACTTGTTTATGATAAACCCAAAACCTTGCCCACAGCGAGGCTAATAGAGAGGTCTCTGGAAAGGGAAGGGAAGCGCTGATAAAAAGAAAAGAAAAAGAAACTCCTCACATGTTGTCATGGGCAGCCTTCATGGCCTTGGCAGCAAAGCCCATATTCTTGATGACCTCGGTGTTGGTGTGGGCGTTCTCTAGCGCCTCCCGCTGGAACTCAATGGTAGAAAGGGTGCCATCAATCTGGGCTAACTGCTTCTCGTAGCGCTTCTTACGCTTCAGTGCCTGTAATGCAGCTGTTTCAAAAAGGAAGAAAGGAAATGTTAAGATTAAAGCACAAACTACAGAGAGTTTGGGAACCTCATGGAATATTATTGCATAACATTAAATCTGGGGTATATTTAAAAGAGTACTACTGTATGTAATTACAGGTCTATTGATTTTATTATTTGATACTTCTTTATTTCAATTACGATTTAGCGTCATGCATTATCGGCTGCCAGTCCTGCTATTACCCAGAACCCAGGGATTTGGGCACAATATTGTTAAAACGCTTAAGTAAGAAATTGCTTGCACAGAAAAATGTATCTACAGCAAAAGGTAAAATTGAAAGTCCACAGTGTAAGATTCCCAGTACTAAATCAAAATTATGAGCAGAGGTTTTCAAAATGATTTCTCAGGGAAGCAGTGGTGCAGAGTTAGGGACTCAGTACAGGTGCGGTTAAATGAGGCGCACTCACCAAACTTAATCAGGCAAGTGAGCTGGAAAAAAAAGAGCAAAAAGGGCCTGTTGCTTTCTAGTGAGAATCTGGTTGGCAGCCTAATTATGCATTAATGACAAGTACAGATGTGCTTTTCTTGTAAAGGTGAATCCTGCAAAGCCTGTCAAGAACATAACCAGGACAAGAAAGAAAAAAAAGAAGACAAGACAGAATTTATATTAAGAAATTATATTTTGCATAAAGCCTATTTTAGGACCATTATGATTTTTTTTTTGTATTGTGACATTCTTTTTCAAATTATTATGCAAAAACTACCCATTCTCATTACAATAAATTGAAAAATAGATGCATTGTTTCAGTTTTAAATAGTTTAAGTAGGATTATTATCGTTAACTAAACTAAAAATGAAACCATAAAATCATTATTTGAAACAAAATAAACATTAACTGAAATAAAATATGTATAAAAAAACTAGTTGCCAAGGCACCATTTCTCTTTTTTTAGCTTAAGTACTAAAATAACTAAAACTACAATTAAACTAAAACCAATAATTAATAAAAAACTATAGACATATTTTTAAAAAACGTATTGAAATGACAAATTATTTTTACTAAAACTTAAATGAAAACTAAATATTAACAAAATCTATAGTAGGTATCAATGACACTAAAATAACACTGTTTATAAGTCATGGTAGAAGCTGCCTCTAATTTATCCATATTTATATAGTTAAATCAGGGTCACATTAGGATAATAGATTTGAATATAATGTCAAACACACACACACACACACACAAAACAACATAATGCTCCTAAAAAAAGTATTTTTCAGACCATGTTCTTTGTGAGAATCAGCCATAAAAAGTCAGTACACAAACATGTTACAGTTTTACTTTCAACAGATTTGAATTCTAAACATTCATTTGAGTTGTCAATTCACATGTAGAAGAAAAAACAGCAGCTGTGTTTGTGCAATGTATGGAATGTGACCTGAATGTATCAGGTTTGCAAACTGCAATATAATAAAACCCTCAACAAACTCTTACATCATGAGTACGTTCAAAAAAGGCCATTCCAAAGACGTCACCTGTGACCTGACGTAAAGGTAATGACACAAACACTTTTTCCATGAAGGCATTGGAACTGTGAACTATGACCACACATCAGTCCCACACCCCTAGCAGTCATAAACCATCAGCTTCGTCACCTGTCGTGTCCCAGAAGCCCTCGTAGGATAATCAGATCAATTATTGATTACCTCTGTTCTGGGGACTTTAAATGTGGAGTTGAGTTACAGGTCTCACAACAGAGATGGCTCTGTAATGTGGCCCTGACATTGTCCTGAAATCATTTATGAGGCTATCTCTGGATTTCCCTAGTAGTATCGATGGGACAGAAAAAAAACAGCCTTATAAATTTGCTTCTTGTAATTGTGTTTACATCATTTGCACAGTCTGAAAGGGACACTAATGGAAACCATGGCAAAGGCATATTGATCTCACAATTTTTTTGACTTTATGTTGAGCAGACGGTCAGTTTCTAGTACTTTTAAAAAAAAATTAACATTCAAATCAGAAAAATAAAAGGACAGAGCATATTTAACAGTTCAGAGAATGTGAGAAAGAACAATAAAACTATTATTATACAGAATAAACACATTAAATCAAGCAAACAAAGTTAACGTGGGCCATAACATGAATTTGAAAATCTTTAGAATATGTATGGTTTCCTTATTTTGTGCTCTCATGTCACTGAAGGTAATATATGAGGGGGTTTTGAGCTATTCTTGACTTGTGCATGTAAAATAATTAAAATATTAATTATGTAATTTTGTTTTTCAGAAAAGTTTGGGTTTTGTAAATAAAGTAAAATATGATCAGGTTCAGTTTTTTTTTTAAATATGTCATGTCCATTTTAAAGTCAATCCAAAAATGAGGGATCGAATCAATATCTGATGTGTTGCAGAAAGTACATTTGTCACATACTATCTATGTCGCATATATCTACTAACAGCTGCATTTACAGGATAACATTGATGAATAATTTTGTATGTTATTGCCTTTATTTTCGTTTGCAGCTCTTCTGGAGGAAAGTCCCTGAGTCAACTATCATGACCATGGATACCAGGGAAGGTCAAAGGTGAACTGATGGAGAGAATTGATCAAATTAAAGGAAAATTATCATCCTAAATAAAACATTTCACATATATCCGTTATCTATGACAGCTCTGAATGACTAGTTCTGTTCATTAGTCCGTTAATTCGATTACAATATACATTCTTCAGTTCATTAATTTGTCTAATACACAACATAAAAAATAAAGAGTCCATAAAGCTCAACTAACAAGCACGCGAAGCTGTGACAACCATACACACTAACTTACACAGCTCATTTCACACTGCCAGCCTAACCTGATTTAACCAGCTAATCTATGCCAGGTGAGCCAGTTCATCTCTCACCTCTTTTGTTCTTCGTTCCGTTCCTCTTGGCCGTAACAAGCTCCTGATCGATCTTTTTCTCCAGGAATTCCTGTTTCTTGGTCAACATTTCTTCTGTTTCTCGCAGTCGCTGGATAGCCTCTTGAGGGCTTGGGGATTTACCCCCTTTTCCACTGCTACCAAATAACTTCCCAAACAAAGACATTTTGCCCTCGGGACGACAGCAAGGATTGATTTTGTGACTAGTAGTCTGGACTGGTCACCACAGTGTGTCTTCTATCTGTCACTGACTCAACAGGCTTGTTGTTGTTTTTTCTGCTTCCTCTTCTCTAACCCAGGCCGCATGACATCATCACGTCACAAGAACATGACTGACGTCATGGCGTATCGTGAGTCTTACGTTCTGTCCGGTTCTGTCACGTTCGTTACTATTTTACAAAATAAGAGTCTCAAATAACTGCATTAGAAATATGGATTGATGTGGAGCTTTTGATTAAATTGAAAATTGTTTTGCAGCTGAGTGAATTTGACATAATAAACTTCAATGATCATGGAATTGAGAAAGATAAGGCACACTAAAGTTTCACATTCATGAAATGGTCTGATTCCAAACCAAATTTTTCTTACTTAATTTTACTTTTCTTAAAAATGATTTCAAGCTTTATTGTTCTGTTTCGTGTAATTGCAGAAGTAAAAAGGCAATTAGAGCTTATAACATTTTAAGCAGGTATTTTACTGTATAAAGTGGCACCCTTTTCTTTTTTTTGTCTATTATAATATTGTCCTTGTCCTCTTGCACAATGTTATTTTTATTATATTTTGCTTTAGTTATTTTTATTTATTTTACTTCGAATGAATATGTCTCATTGTATTGTTCTGGTTTATGGCATTAATAATAAAAAATGTCACGTTGATGACAAATGGGCATGTTTTAAGAAAAATTATATTATATAACACTTTATGATACTAGGGAGGTTCCATATCCATAAAATGTTTTTTTTTTTTTTTACAAAATTTACTACATTTTATACATGATTTTAAACAATAATGTAGGGTTTAATTAATGTAAATTATTTTTAAAAGCATGTATTATTACTATTATTATTAAATAGAATATTGATAGGTCATAAGTGTTTATGAACAATCGTCAAATCGTGTCGTTCCTATAAAATAAAACAACCTTCTGATTTAAATAAATTCTTATGTCATATTAAATAGTAATGATTCATTTATGTAGAATTATCGGACAATAAATACGACTGTTTAAATATTACATGTATACCAGTCTATGATGTATACTAAAAATACGTTTGCATTTTATATTAAAAATTAGATGTAACGAGATAAAGAGAGTGAGAGTTTAAAGGGACTTTTTTCACGCTAATATTTATATCTAATACTGATATATTAATCCTTTTTAAATGCCACAAAACCTGGAGCAACTTTTTTTTTAAATCTACATTTGTGCAAAGTTTTTATTTACCTATAATTAAAATAATAATTAAAAAAGGTACTCTACTACTCCGTAGTCAGAGTAAATGATTGGCAGGTTTGCCAGCCAATGCGACTGTACGCTGGCCTATGACGTGAGTTCCGGTGTACGCTCAGGCCTTGTCCTCGTCCTTGATCAAATCCCACAGCAGCACTTGGCGGACGAAAGACACACATTTGCACGGAAAAATGGTCGCTTACTGGAGACAAGCAGGGCTGAGGTACCATTAACATTAAACAACGTAAAAGCTGTGTAATTTCTATTTTAATTGCTGTACGCTCTGTGGTTCGTGAAGTTATAAAGCTGTTGTTAATTTGGTTTGGCCTTGCTCTATAACGTTACAGCTATGCATTTTACTGTAGTAGTAACGTTAGTGTCATTTTGAATTTGAATCAAAATTCACAAATTCGTAAGAGCAGGTTTTTTTTTGTAGTTATTCTGTAACCTAATATTTGTCTTGATCATTTCAGTTACATCAGGTACTCGGCTATCTGCGCCAGGGTCGTGCGGGCAGCACTGAAGCCACAGATCAGAGTTGAGGCGCTTAAAAACGCAGAAACCAATGTGAAGGTCACTAAAATCAAGACTGCATAATGTGAGTTCCTTATGCCTTTAAACAATTCAAGTGTTTATCTGAACTGTCCTGCTGTTGTATAAATTGATGCATTAACTGACCATTTAGACCTACCTTTTTAGTCCCATGTTTTATGTAAGATTTTTGTTATGATTGATGTTCTTTTCTGTTTTTTTTTGTAGGAGCTGCAATTACACCCTGCAATCCCTACTTCTCCATATACATTCTCTGTCGGATTTACAACAAGACCCGCAGTTATGTTGATTGAATGAAAATAGCTGTATTCTTTTGATAATAAATTATGAGTCTCAAACTAAAACAGTCTTCACTCTGTGTTCTTGGTCTAAAGAGCAAGCATGCATTGGGCAAAATGTGTGCATTACTTTTAATTTATCATGTCAGTTTTGCTTGTTATATGTAAGTAGTACTACTGACAATGTCCACACTTGGCTGTGTGGTAGTTATTTAAAGCTTTAGTAAAATGTTCTCTGCATAAGATGTGGACAGATTTGGCTTATTAATGCTCTTTGTATATAATTAATATTTCAGAGGCTAGGCAAGTATTATTCACTGGCTAGGCAAGGGTATTACAGTATGCATCAGGTTTTATTTTATGTGATAAAAAGCAGCAGGATTTCCAGATATTTAGTATTTTATTAAAATATGTACAGCGTTTGCATTATGTAAAACATCTTAAATTGAATAGTTTGTTGCTTACTGGTAAAAATCTTATTTTTTCTTTCATAAATGAAAACTGATGTGTGCATGACATAATTGACAATGAAAAGGAAAATAAAACTTCTTAGCATTATAAATGAAGTACAATGCAGATACATCAAATATATATAGTTTTATATTAATAACATGCTTTTATTAAAGGATGAGCAAAACTAACAAAAACAGAAATGTAGCCTGTTGAATATTTTTAAAAAATACAGAAGAATTTAAGCGTCTATATAGTATTACACCACACAAATGAAAACCAGTTTTGACTTTTTCACTTAAATGTCTGTAGATTTTCATGATTACAGAACATACAGAAATGGTATTGTGTTCTCCAGTGACAATACAATCAACATTTTGTGTGTATACAGCTTTACAATATACACTACTGTTAGTTTGGGTTCAGTTAATTAATACTTTCTTCAATAAGGATGCATTGAATTGATCAAAGGTGACATTTATAATGTTACAAAAGATTTTAATTTCAAGAAATGCAGTTCTTTTGAAAGTATCAAGGTTTCCACAAAAATATTAAGCAGTACAACTCTTCAACATTGTTAATAAATTCACATTATTACTGTTTACTGTATTTTTGATCAAATAAAGGAGGCCTTGAAGAGCATATGAGACTTTTAACAAATTACAAAAATCTGACCGACCCCAAACCTTTGAACAGTAGTGTACATCTGCTTGAAAAGATATTTAAAAGATTAGAAAATTCTTTTTCATAATTTTCATATCAGAAATATTTCACAGTTTGCTATGTACAGTGGCTCCAAAAAGTATTTGAACACTTGAGGAACAGTGTCATTGAATTACATAAAATATAAAAACAAAAATACATTTCAATAGGTTGTAAATGTTGAAGAGATGTTCAAAACGACACTTTGGACACTGCGATTATCATATTTGAAGTTCAGATGCCCCTTTATCTAATGCAATGCAATTCATAACATCCATTTTAAGGGTATCTTAAGTGTCTAAATACTTTTTGTGGCCACTGAATGATTTCACTCTTGACAGAATCACATCCACTCGTGCCATATTCACTAAAGCCCTCGCGTCATTCGCCGTCAGAAGTTTCAGCGACCGACTCCGTCTTAACCTCTACTCGAGTGCTGTGTACTATTGATGGCAGACCCTCCTCTTCTGTCACTTCATCTTCTGCGTCGTAATCCATATCGGCTGTGGCATCCTGATATTGCTGGTATTCTGAAACCAGATCATTCATGTTGCTCTCCGCCTCTGTGAACTCCAGCTCATCCATGCCCTCCCCCGTGTACCAATGCAGGAAGGCCTTGCGTCGGAACATGACCGAGAACTGCTCCCCTATGCGCTTGAATATCTCCTGGATGGCGGTGTTGTTTCCGATGAATGTGGAGGCCATTTTGAGGCCTCGTGGCGGGATATCACAAACAACGACTTTGACGTTGTGAGGGATCCAATCCACAAAGTAATTGCTGTTCTTCTGCTGAATGGCGAGCATCTGCTCATCAACCTCCTTAGTGGACATGCGACCACGGAAAATGCCCGCCACTGTCAGATAGCGTCCTCGACGCGGGTCGCACGCGGTCATCATGTTACGGGCGTCGAACATCTGCTGGGTGAGCTCGGGCACCGTTAGGGCACTGTATTGTTGGCTACCACGTGCTGTGAGAGGAGCGAAACCAGGCATGAAGAAATGGAGACGCGGGAAGGGCACCATATTGACGGCCAACTTCCGAAGGTCAGCGTTCAGTTGACCTGGGAAGCGGAGGGAGGTGGTGACCCCACTCATGGTGAGGGATACGAGGTGGTTGAGATCTCCATAAGTTGGCGTTGTGAGCTTGAGAGTGCGGAAGCAGATATCATACAGCGCTTCGTTATCAATACAAAACGTCTCATCTGTATTCTCAATCAGCTGGTGAACTGATAGGGTCGCGTTATACGGCTCCACTACAGTATCGGAGACCTTCGGCGAGGGCATTATGCTGAAACTATTCATGATGCGGTCAGGGTACTCCTCTCGGATCTTATTGATAATCAAGGTACCCATTCCCGAACCGGTGCCACCACCTAGAGAGTGGACGAACTGGAACCCCTGCAAGCAGTCGCAGCTCTCCGCTTCATTACGGACACGATCCACAACCTGCTCCACAAGTTCTGCGCCCTCAGTATAGTGACCTTTGGCCCAGTTATTGCCAGCTCCAGAATTTCCTTTATATTTACAGAGAGAAAACAGCACCAGGAATGACATTATCGTGCCAGGTTAAAAATTTGTCTTCTGTCAATCGATTTTAGAGTTTGAGTTAAGTGGTGGTTACTTAAATTGTGATCATATTGTAGATGATCATTGACTCACCGTGTATAAAATTATCCGGTCTGAAGAGCTGTCCTATGTGGCTGCTCCTCACGCTGTCCATAGTGCCTGGCTCCAGGTCCACTAACAATGCTCTTGGAACATATTTGCCACCTGACAGGCAATGACACATCTCAGTCACTGAGAATTTTGTTATAGGAAGTTACTGTGTACCTCGACTGCAAGACTGCCCCACTTACCAGATAAAGACAGCTGAGAATGGTTCTTACAATATAAAACACACCATTTACAGTAATAACAAAAATACATTTAAATGAACACGAGATGCATTGCCTGTGATTGCAAAAAAAAAGAAAAGCAATGCAATACAAAAGAAAATCCCCAAATATAACCCAATACTAGTCTTAATGTTACACACATACTGTATAATATGTTATATAATATCTAGACATTTATTTACCGGTATGCGCTAAAAATGTATGTCATTGCATTTGATTACAAAAAAACTACTTGGTTACTCACGTAACCTCAGTTCCCTGAGTTAGGGAACGAAGTATTGCGTAGCTATACGCAGTGGGAAAACTCCTTTTCCTCGATTCTACTGAACCTTATGTAAAACGCATTTGCAGCTGCACCGCTAGCACATAGAGCGTCTCGCTCGCTCATAGGCTGTGCTGCAGCAACTGCACATCCAATGGCGCGGGCGCCCCTTACGTGCGACCAATGAGATCGCTCCACGTCATCACACGTCAGAGCACCGTCATAGGGGCGAGGCCTAGCCTATATAAGCCCCTGAACTCGCCAAAATAGCAGGTTTATACTGAAGCGACAAATACCCAGTTAAAATAGTGCGGCCGGCTACGCAATACTTCGTTCCCTAACTCAGGGAACTGAGGTTACGTGAGTAACCAAGTAGTTCCCTTTCGAACGGTCACTTCGTATTGCGTAGCTATACGCAGTGGGAACGCTCTGCAAAACGCCGCACTGAATAACTGGTTGCCACTGCAACTCAGGAACCCTGAGCATACAGAACAAGCCATAAACCACTTAATATGTATACACTAGAGCCGACACCGTCAGGTCCAGGTGAATACATCAGAATTTCCGATAGGGTCAAGAATATGAAAATACCACCAGCCTTAGCGGGTTTATAATATAAAGATTTTTACCGGCCAGAAGCGGGTTTATATACATATATATGTGAATGTGGTTATGCACAGAACAAATGATGAAAGACCAGACACTGTGTAGGCCCTAATCATACCGAAAGCACCCCTGCCTGTAGGGAGGGTACTTCCAAATTATAGAATTTCATAAATGTGGACGGCGAGGCCCAACCGGCCGCCTCACAAATGTCTTGGATAGGAAAACCAGACGACCACGCCCACGACGAGGCCATGCCTCTGGTCGAATGGGCTTTAACACCTAAAGGGCAAACCTGACCCGCTGAAGTATAAGCCGTCGAAATGGCCTCCACTATCCATCTAGACAGTCTCTGTTTAGTGACAGGATCCCCTTTGGATCGACCACCAAAGCAGACAAAAAGCTGTTCTGATTGCCTAAACGATGCAGAAGGCTCCAGATAGATTCTCAGCGCCCTGACAGGGCAGAGAAAGTTAACCTCCCCTTCCTCCGTGGAAGGGGGAAGGGCTAACAATGTCACCACCTGTGCTCTGAATGACGTTGAGAGCACTTTGGCCACAAAACCATGCCTGGGCTTGAGGATGACCCTGGAATCACCAGGACCAAACTCCAAACATGCCGGGCTCACAGAAAGAGCCTGCAGATCTCCCACTCGCTTAATAGATGCCAATGCCAACAGGAGAGCAGTCTTCAGCGAGAGAAGTTTAAGATCCACCGACTGGAGTGGTTCAAAAGGTGGACCCTACAAAGCCCCTAGGACCGCAGATAGGTCCCAGGACGGCACAGAAGGAGGTCTGGAGGGGTTAATCCTCCTAGCACCCTTCAAAAATTTCACGACCAGGTCGTTTCTTCCCAGTGGCTGGCCAGCTACCAGAAGATGGTGTGCTGCAATAGCTGCCACATACACCTTGAGTGTGGACGGGGAGCGACCCGCGTCCAACAGCTCCTGTAGGAATGAGAGAACCACAGATATGTCACATGACTCCGGATTCAGACGGTTTTTCGAGCACCAGCCGGAAAAAAAACCCCATTTTGAAGCATAAAGGCACCGAGTCAACGGGGCCCTAGCTTCAGATATAGTATTCAGCACCTTCACAGGAAGGTCCCCGGATACCGGTTCAAGGGCCACACATGTAGGGCCCACAGGTCGGGTCGCGGATGCCACAACGACCCCTTTGTCTGCGTGAGGAGGTCTTTCCTCATCGGGACAGGCCATGGAGCTGCATCCGAAATCTGAACCAGCTCCGGAAACCACGGCTTGGACTTCCAAAGAGGAGCCACCAGAAGGACCGGGCACCTGCACTCCCTGACCCGTTTGATGACTTGTGGAATCATCGAGACAGGGGGAAAAGCATACAGGGGGCGGTTGGGCCAGGCGTGGGCCAATGCATCCCTGTCTTTCGAGAAGAACAGATTGCAATGGGTGTTGTTCTCCGAGGCAAACAGGTCGATTTCGGCCCTGCCAAACTCTTCCCATATCAGACTGACCGTCTGTGGGTTTAGGGACCACTCGCCGAGGGGAGTGTTGTCCCGTGAGAGCATATCCGCGCCCAGATTCTGGACGCCCAGGATATGTGTAGCCCTCAGAGAGCTCAGATTTCTCTGTGCCCACAAGAGGAGATCCCTCGCCATAGCATGCAGGCCACCTGACCTGACGCCCCCTTGGCGATTTATGTAGGCCACCACTGACATGTTGTCTGTGCGGACTAAGATGTGATGACCTTTGAGGCTCGATAGAAAAGCATTCAGGGCCAGACCAACTGCTTTCATTTCCAGACAGTTGATGTGTAAGCTCTGTTCCGCGCTCGACCAGAGGCCAGAAGCAGGCATGCCCTCGTGTAATGCCCCCCAACCCAGGTTGGATGCATCCGTAAAGACCACTTTCCTTCTGGAAATTGTCCCCATTATCACACCCTCTTGGTACCAGCCCTGAGCCCGCCAGGGAACCAGGGTCCTTAAACAACCGTGATTCACTCTGATGCGTAGGCTGCCTGACTGCCATGCATACGTTGGCACCCGGCGTTTCAGCCAGTGCTGCAGAGGGCGCATGCGCAGCAGTCCCATGCGGAGCACTGGTGATGCTGCTGCCATAAGACCCAGTAGTTTCTGAAATTTCTTCAGAGGCGCGCACTCTCGCTCTCTGAACGAGGATGCCAGCGCACGCACTGAGAGCGCGCGCTCTGGTGTGAGCCGCGCTCTCAATGACACCGAGTCTAAAACTATGCCCAGAAAGATCACACTCTGATAGGGTGATAGTTTGCTCTTTGAAACATTGATCGTGAGACCCAAGCATTCCAAATGGCCGAGAATCAGATTTCTGTGAGCTATCAGTTCGCCTCTCGACTGCGCTAGCACCAGCCAGTCGTCGAGGTAATTCAGTACGCGCACTCCTATCTGTCTCAGAGGAGAGAGCGCTGCATCCACACACTTCGTGAAAGTGCGGGGTGCCAGAGACAGACCGAACGGCAGAACTGTGTACTGATAAGCCTGTCCCTCGATGGCGAATCTCAAGAATGGCCTGTGACGAGGGTTTATTTGAATATGAAAGTAAGCATCTTTCAGATCCATCGTAACAAACCAATCCCCCGGGCGAATTTGCGCGAGGATCTGTTTGATAGTTAACATTTTGAAACATTTTGAAGGGACGTCGCACGAGCGCCTTGTTCAAATGTCTCAAATCTAGTATGGGTCTGAGACCGCTGTCTTTCTTCGGAACTAGAAAATAACGGCTGTAAAAACCCGTGTGCTTTAGCGCAGGGGGGACTAAATCTATCGCCCCTTTTGCTAATAATTTCTGCACTTCGGTGCGAAGCACGTGACCCACGTCGCTTCTCACCGAGGTCTCGACAACCGCCTGAAACTTTGGGGGTCTGCGAGCGAATTGGAGCGAGTAGCCTCGCTTTATAATGTTTATGACCCAACTCGACACACCGGGGATAGCTTGCCAGGCTAGAACCCGTGTGGCTAGGGACTGACACACTGAAAGGGGGGAGCCACCTAACGTAGGGGGATCTGAAACCCTTATAATGTAAATTTTGTCTTCATCCCTGGCGAGAGGTAGCCGAGTCCGCAGAGAGGAGATGGGCATGCTCTCACAGGCCGCACATCCGCCGGAGGAGAAGGCCTTCTCTGCGTGGTTGAGTCCCAGGCATGAAATGCATCGTGCGTGGTGATCGGCCTCGTGCAGCTTGCGTGCGCACGTGGCGCAGTTACGAGACATCTCGTCGTGTAGAAACAAAAAGGATATCGCCGGATAGCCACAGGTGAGACGGCGTCAGGAGACGAACGGCTGAGAAGACGTGATCTGCTGAAATAATGCTCGCTCAAGCTGAAGGGCTTGTTCGACGGCGAAGGCTCAGTGAAACAGTCAGAGACATACAGTTTGTCGCTGAAGGAGTAAAATCTGCTATTTTGGCGAGTTCAGGGGCTTATATGGGCTAGGCCTCGCCCCTATGACGGGCTCTGACGTGTGATGACATGGAGCGATCTCATTGGTCGCACGTCAGGGGCGCCCGCGCCATTGGATGTGCAGTTGCTGCAGCACAGCCTATGAGTGAGCGAGACGCTCTATGTGCTAGCTGTGCAGCTGCAAATGCGTTTTACATAAGGTTCAGTAGAATCGAGGAAAAGGAGTTTTCCCACTGCGTATAGCTACGCAATACGAAGTGACCGTTCGAAAGGAAACTTTTAGTATCCACTGAATAAAAACAGAGAACATGTAGGCCTGGTTTCACAGAGAGGGCTTAGATTAAGCCAGGATTAGACTTTAGTTTAATTCGGGCATTTAAGTAGCTTTTACAAATGTGCCTTATGGGAAAACAAAACATTACTGGTGTGCATCTTCAAACAAAACAATGGCACAGACATATTTTAAGATAATATGGTAATGTACATACCGTGTGCTTCATTGAAGTACACATTGATCCTCTGCAGCTGAAGGTCCATGTCGCCCTCATATGTTCCTGTTCTGTTAATACCATGTTCTTCACTGATCACCTCCCAGAACTGCGAACACATTAAAAAAATTTTTTAGCTTAGTCATATTTTCTCCCATTTATTACATTTTGACCTGATCAAACTGATATCTTCAGGACTGAAGGAAACCTTAGATAAAAAAAAACAAAAAAAAAAACAGTCAAGACATTCAACAACTGACTTGTGTTGAGTTTAAATGACTTGCACTTGTTCTTCCGGATGCCATTTTTTTTAAACTACAATTCTATCACTCTGAAATTCACAGGCCAGTTCTATGATAAAGAAGGCCTAGCCCGTCAGAGGAGGCTCTGTCTCTTATCTTACAGTAGACCACACTAGGGTGAACACCCTATGACCTCACCGCACGTATTATAACTTCAAATATTTATTCAGTTTAAAAATACATTTTAGTAGTACAAAAATGTTTTTGCTATAGCTTATAACTAAAGCCATTGTTGCAATATTTAGTAAACTTGTTCAAAATGACAGTAAACTCCAAAAAAATTACAATAATAATAAAATAATTGTATGAGAAAAACAAACTGATAAATAAACTACAAATACATACTTATAATAAAGAAATGCATGCTCAATTTTCTGTTAATCATGCATAAGATTATCTTGCTTGAATCAAGTTAAGTTGAAGATGGTAAAGCAGCTACTAATCATAAAAGTATACACAAAAATACATATTTTGAGCCATCGCACCTTAGAGCCGATCTGATTCCCACACTGTCCGATCTGTAGATGAACAATCTCACGCATAATGATGAATAAGGCAAGCTGAAAGAGCAGGAATAGCCTTGACCGTGAGTCTGAGGTGCCCACTGTGTGTGTAATACCAGTGATGACATCATTAAGAGGGAGTCACCCATATGCCACACACACGATGCCACATAACGTACTTGTCATTGTGATATTGAATTAGCAAACCAGCAGAAGAGACTGTTGGTTTTCAGTGAAGAACAACAACTATGTTGTAGGGTCAAAGTTTAACACACTATGAATGACCAAATACTTATGTATTTATTAAGTATTTAAGGATAGTTTAAACATTTTAATATGTAAAATGCAGGGTGCAAAGTCCTATCATCATGAGCTTCGATCAGTCACTGTCTCTGGTGTTTAATGATAAGACTCTTACGAGCCCTATCAGTCGCAATGCAGTGACAGACCGTCAGAGAGACAGCCAGACAGACCACATGCTCATTGTCTCAGTGTTTCCTGCCAAAAGAGTTACAGTTTATATATGTTGAAGTTGGCATTTCTGCACAGTATATATTTTTTATTGGTCTGGAATTGTAATTTTGGAGGCCAGCATACATGCAGATTTATATTTTACCAACAGATGCCACTGTTGTGCACAAAGTAGTAGTAATTTTATTTTTTTTGCCCCTACATTTAAACATTTAAGCATTTGAACTCAGTAATTCATCTTTAAATCATTAATTAAGAAGATTCTTGACTGTCAAGGTCCAAACAACCATAAATAATATAAGTTAAGTTAAACCACAAGTACTTAGTTCAAAAGACTCAGTCAAAGGAAAGTGTGAAGCGAAGGCACTGTTGTAGATAATGTCAATTCATGAGGCATGTTGTAGGACAGATTAAGAACAGAAGGCAAGCTATTGTGCGAGTTATTCAACCTTCCAAGAAACAGGAGAGCGGTCATTTATTAAGCAAAGTGCTGTGGAGTTTGTACAAACTGTGTCTGATCTGCAGTTACAATGAGGTCTTTCATCATTTCAAGTCATTTTATTAGTAAGGGAAATCAAACAGAAAGAGCAACAAGAGGGGGAATGAGAGAAAGCAAACGATAAAGGACAAGAGAGTCAGATTCACCTTTATATATTCAGTCTCTTATTCAGACTATTTCATTCCACATGTGACATCTGTCTAAACTTTTGGATTCATAACATGACACAACGTATAAAACATAAAACATTCTGCTCTGTACTCTGTCACACACACACACACACACACACACACACACACACACACACACACACACACACACACACACACACACACACACACACACACACACACACACACACACACACACACACGTTTGTACTCAGTCTGAACGAGTATGATGCTTCTTTTTATGATGTTTTCTGTCAAGTTCGTCATGAACTTGCATGATGGTGTACAATAGCGCCACCTACAGGATATTATTATTACAACTTATTTTTCGCACCCTCTTCATACAGGATGTTTACTGAGTCATGTTATCTATCTATCTATCTATCTATCTATCTATCTATCTATCTATCTATCTATCTATCTATCTATCTATCTATCTATCTATCTATCTATCGTTTGTGATAACAATTTACATTATAAAACAATATGAAATAGAATAGCCTACAATAAAATAGATTATAACAAATTAAATATATATACAGTATATTAATAATAACAATCATATAATACAATTCTAAATAGATAAAGGGAATAAATTGTTTACAAAACTGTAAAATTGTGATAGCATTTTTCCAAGTGACGTCACTGAGTGACCTTTTTTTTATTGACAATGAACAACAACATTATACAACAAGAATAACAACCAAGATAATATTACCGCCAGGCAGGGGGGAATAATTGAAATAAATACTGGGCTACGTTTCACTCAATAAGTGTAAGTTCTATTAGAAATTTATATAAATATTTATTTATATATTCACGGAATTTAATCACAATTATTATATCATGTAATTAATTAAAAAAAAGTTTTTCCATCTCCCTTAAAATAATCTGTGAAGCCACAAATATTTAAACAACGTCACGGAGTGAGTGACTCCCCCTGCTGCTCGTGAAAATGTAACGCTGTGCAAAAGTTACGGCAGAGAGAACTGATCTCAGATCAGCACGCGAGAGCTCCGGCGGACAAGGAGGGACTTGGAGCGGGGTCCAGAAACAGTAGAGCAAGAATAACAAACAGTGAAAAGTACGCTATGCGTGTCAGGTCAAAGTTCACTCCTGTCCACTCGTAAATATCAGAACCTAAGGGAAAATCCGATGAGGCTAAATGACACCTTTGGAAAGCCTGAGCGATAAGGCTGTAAGGGAATAGCGAGCCTTCTCTCCACCTGACCTGGATATCCATCATCATCATCATCATCATCATGGTGTTCTTATCCTACAAGACTATTCCATTCGGATGTTAATCACCTCACGGTTCGATCCCAGCATTGGCCATGGGGATGTGTCACAGCTTCAGATCTAGGTTATCACATTCGACCATCACATACACCGGCGGACGGACCGGTGCGAACCCCGGGATAGATGCCGAGTCCGGCCACTCGGACAGTTGTGACCCGCAGCTCCGGGAACGGCGGCGAGAGGAGGAGAGGGCGCGGGTCAAAGCGGAGAATAAACGGAGTCGAAACATTGACAAGAGCCTGAAAGCGGAGAAGAGAGAGTACAAGCAAACGCACAGGCTGCTGTTATTAGGTAAGAGACGAGTTTCTGGGGTGGTGCGACTACTTTATCTGCGGGCAGTCGAGGTAAATAAGAGCAGCCACAAGCTGATGATGATGATGCAGCTAACGCAAAGTTTGTGGCTGGCCCCTTAAAAACACGTTACCGTGGTAACCGTCATTTTAACCTTAATACTGTAGTAGTAGTTTTATAAGCATTGGCGATATTAGTGGCGTGATTTTTGTGTGTCTAAAACAAAATTAGCACAAGATAAAAACTAGTTTTAAATGCATCAAAGTTGGGATTTTGGCCTGTATCACTTTAGGGAGTTGACCTTCTCCACTGTAACAAATAGCCTAATAAACCATTCGATAATTTTTTAATATTGTAAAAAATTATATGATCAATAAGTTATGATAACATGTTTTTACATTACTTTAACTCATCAAAATAAGTTAAGCAATTTTCAACTTTTTTTATAAGCAACATACTAGATTCAACTATTTTTTAAAGCCAGTTTAATGTCATTTAAGTTGAAATTAAGTTGATTGTACTTAAAAAATTCGTCCCACTTTATATTAAGTGGCTTTAAATACTTACATCGAAAAATAAGTACAATGTACTTATTGTGTTCAGGTTGTATTGTAAAACACTTTCACTGCTATTGAGGTGTGATACGGGTAATAGGGACAGGTGTGTGGTATGGGTGGGTTTAAGGGTGGGTTAAGGTGTAAGGGAAGGGTCAACAGTGTAATTACAAATGTAATTACAGAAAGTATTTTCAAAATATAAGTATAATGTAAAAACATGTATGTACACAATAAGTCCATTGTATCAAAGTATTAATTTCAATGTAAGTATATAAGCCACTTAATATAAAGTGGGACCAAAAAATGTAAGACAACAACAAATTTTTTTTTTACAGTGTATGTAATCTGTTAATTGATATTTAATTTATGGCATTATATGTATTTTAAAATGATAAAAAAATATTAAATTTACTTTACTCAGTCACATTTCCTATTTTTTCTCTCATTTAGACCTAATACAAAGTACATATTTTTGCAGGGCAATGCATCGTGACTAAAAAGACTATTTTGAGTTAAATAGTATACAAGCATCTATGGAGAGCATGTGGCCTGCTGTTGATTACCGGAGAATAAAAATTTTAAAAACAGAAAATGCATTTACAGTAATACACTTATGGATATGCAGATGCAATCTAGGCAAGGCAGAGGGTTTAAAAGCAGAAACGTGAAGCTTTTATTTGTATTCCATCACTTACATTGATTCTTCAGTTTATAATGTTGTCTAAATCGTAGTTTTGATTTTGATAGGTGGAGGAATTAATTCTGTAATTCTTATGGGTGGAGTTTAATCCAAGTCAAGTGTTTTATGAAGTTACTCCTTGTCCCGCTCCTTCTGTCTCCTGTTTTATGAAGACATGCGCAAATAACCAGAATTTTTTTAAAAGCAAAATTAATCTTCATACTATCCATCCTAATTAGTATGCAATATTAGAATGATGTTAGAATTAGTTTGTCACAGTCATAGAATGCAAAATAATGCTAAAGGTATCCAGATAATATACTATTTTAGTGGAATTCACAATTTGTTGCCCATAACCTTTTATGCATTAGAAGAGGAGTTGTTTGTGGTATCTATCTATTAAGTGTTCAAAAATAGCGTCAAACCATGTGAAAATTTGTTTCTCTGTCCATGCAAAGTGTCGGTTGTTTTGTGGTATTCTGGTGGATACTGGTCACCCTTGTTTTTGGATTTTCACTGAATAATGCATATTAATTGACCACTATTCTGAATATGTTCTCTAAAATATATATAGTGCAAAACGAGCATTTAAAGTCATTTTGAGTTTCATCCGGACTGAGCACTTTAACCCGGATTAAACCTGGTTCTGTGATTGTCATGAACTGTCATAACAGTGAAAACATCTGGTCAAGATCTAATCTGTGGCAGCTAAACTGGCCCTACTTGTTGTGTGTGTGTGTGTGTGTGTGTGTGTGTGTGTGTGTGTGTGTGTGTGTGTGTGTGTGTGTGTGTGTGTGTGTGTGTGTGTGTGTGTGTGCGTGTGTGCAAAGAGTAAAATAATTAGTAACAAGAGTCAATTAGAGTATGTCTAAAAAAATGCAATAATCTTTTTGCAGAACATACTGGTTCATCTAGACAATCTGCTGATTCAAGTCTAAAATTGTATAAAGGTGAAGTGAAAATGTTTTCCGAAGACCATTTTATTTTCTGAAACTGCAGTGCTATTCTTGTGGCATATACATTCTGCAGTAGTCGCATGGCTTAACTTCCTCTTTGGATAAAAACTAAGTCCCACCGAATATCTTCTGTAAACCAAAAGATGCAATGTATTTATGCCCATCCGACTGGAATACATGTTGATATAATATTTAAAGGTGTGTTATGAATCCCAAGAAAT